ACAGTCTTAGAGAGAGAGAGAGAGTTTGAAAGATGGTTTCTTATGCGCAGTCTCTCTGCAGATATTTAGCATCCCACAGTATTGAAGAAAATGAGACAGTCTTTGCTCCTATGGAGCTTCATGTGTTCATTGGAGCTGGCAGTATGAAAATTGGACCCTATGGGATGTGTTGGTTATATTTTGGCATCTGCTCAAATTATATCTCCATAAATGCATGTTCTGTGCATGGCCATTTATAAAGGAAATTTGCAGAATCACAATTAATCTTAAATGATACATGATCAAGAAATTGGGAGGGTAGGAGCTAAATTGAATGAGTTGTGCAAAAAAGGGCATTCAGTTTCATCAGCAGAAAGCATCTTTGGGCTGTTTACATACTAATATAAATCTTGCAAATAAAGGCATTCCGGTCTTTTTCATTAAAGAAAATATATCAGAAATTTCTTAAAACCAATCTGATATTAGATTGATTTCCATATTTCCAAAACTGTCTAGGGTAGTTTATCATCATTAGTACCTCCCAAAGATAACAGCCCTTGATATATAGGAATTTGAATTAATTGATGCATTATATAATACAAAACCATATAAAATAGGGCTGTACAAATGCTTTGAAAGAGGTGCCTTACAGTGTGCTAGAGAGTAAACAGAACAGCTTTCTTTGAAATGTTAAAGCAGCTGCATCTTTTTCTAAGCTCCCACAGTTGCTTTAGAAACTGCCAGCAACTGTCTCCACATGCATTTGCATATATAGCTATTTCACCTTGCTGAGGAAAAGTCTTTCTTTCAAAGGATTTGCACTGCCCTAGTAAGAATGGCCAGCCACTGGATCATGAACTGAATCTGGTTCCTTCCCTGTGTTCAACCTAGAGAACAAGGCCTGGTGTTGAATCTTAACCTACCTTGTTATGCAGCTCTTCATTCCATTTCCTGATGGGAAGAATGCTTGCCAGGTAAACAGTGGCCCCGTGTTGCTGTTTGTGTCTGAACAACGTTCTTGCCTCAGGTAAGATGTCACACCAGCAAAATTGGTATGCAAGAGAGATGTGCCCTGTACTGCATCTAGCAGAAATTTCTTTCCACAGCCTCCACCATAATATCTGTGTTACATCTGGGAATTTTTTTTCCCTTAAGCAGATACACATTAAATTAAATTCTTTTGCTGTGTCCAAATCATCTTTCTTTTACTTGATAAAACTTTTATTCACTGCAGCATTTGTATTTGATAACACTATACTAGCATTGTGGCAGAAAACTGTTCCATGTGGGTATCGATACATCCACATACAAATAACAAAATGAAGATATTAAATATGAGCTGCCCAGAGTCACCCATTGGGGTAGATGTCCGGCATACAAAATAAATAAATAAAATAATAAATAAATAAATATTATTCCGGATGGATGGATGGATGAATGTTAATCCTGCATTTTCCAGCCCTTCCTGAAGAAAAAGGAAAACACATACATGGTCCTAAGAACCAGCAGAATCTTATAGTGTTACAGTTGAGCCTGAAAGAATAATTGATCACAATCAAACACAGGGTTTGTTAACCACGTTTAAGAACATAAGCGCACCTGAGACTGTAAGACTGTGATGCTTATTTGATCATTTTAAGTGAGTGAATTACTGAGAGCGAGGTTTGAGGCAACAGGTGATTCTGTCAGTGTGCTCTTTTGATAGGAAGACATGTAGCAAATTTAATTTTCTTCTGATTTAATTGTACGAGGTATGCAAGGGCAAAGTGTTGTGAGACTATCCAGCTTGCCCTGTTAGCATTTATCAGAAAAAGCCTTTTTTTCCTCAAAAGGAAAAAAAAAAGTTTTGGATTGCACTTTTGCAGGGGAAAAATATGTACATAGCAAATGAATGTTGATAAAATTTAAAATAATTGGTTATGATGCCATTTTTGTGTGGTGTTAAGTTTTGGGGTTGTGATTTATCTGTATTAAAATAATAAATTGTGGTGGACTGTGTTTGTGGCTGTTTTAAACTAGTCCAGATAATGGTTCACAGCGTGGTGTGTAGGAGGGCTGTACAAAGCATCATGCAGAGGTGCTTGAGGGCCACTTCATTGTCTGTCTTCAAAATGAACATGCAGGGCCCTGTTCTTACTTTAAGGTAAGATTCTGCACTGAACAGAGTTGAACTGCAAAGATGGATCTGGAGTGGCTTTGTCAGCCCAGCCTTCCCTCTGATTCACATCATGTTAGAAGGCCTCTGAGACCTTTGCAATATTCGTCAGTTCTCAGAACACTGGCAGGCTTTAGAGTTTCAGTCACGCAAGAGCTCCAGCAATGAATTACACACCACCAGGAATCAACCTGGAGTAGCTCCTTCAGGAAGCTGAACAGCCAAGGCAACAGGTATGAAAGAAGTCACACCAACAACAGGTCTTGCCCAGTCCTATCATCCTTTGTCAGTGGAACTCTGGCTCACTGTAATTTCCTTTGAAGAGCAACTGAAAGAGTTGGATAGGTTTAGCCTCCCGAAAGAAAAAGAAGGGGGACCTGATAGTATTCATCACTGTTCAAATAACTCAAAGAACGTCTCGCCAAAAAAGATTAAGCCTTGTCTGTTGTTTCAGAGTGTAGGATGTGGGATAATATGTTTAACTAGAAGGGATGCAGATTTCTATTAAATAATAGGGGGAAAAGTCTTATTATTTAAAGTTCAACAATAGAACCCTGAAAAGTGGTGGGCATTCCTTCACTGAATGCATTCAAGTGGCAGCGTTGTGTCTTGGATGCCTGCTTTAATTTGGATTCTTGCATTGAACAAGGTTGAACTTGGCCTGAATGGCTACTTTTGATTCTGATTCTCTGATGTGGCAAGATTCAAGGACCTGATTGTTTCATAGACTCTATCTCATGAATAAAATTACCCCTTTCATGACTTCTGCAGTGGACGCTATTGCTATTTCTGAAGTACGTAGCCAATAAAATGAATACATATGCGTCTACTGGCAACAGCAATAGGAAAGCCAATGTAGCCATCACAAAACGTGTAGTGGAGAGTTGATGACCAACTCTGAGTGGGGTGAATACCAAAATTAAAGGAATGGCACAGAAAAGTTTACTTAAACAGACCTACAGATTCATAGACTACCTCTGTGTCTTTCTAGGATGCAGCCGTAGGTTGCTGTGTCATTTCTGACACTATATACAGATGTATATTACTTAATGGGTTTTAGTCCTCTGTTCAGGGAGGGCGGGCGTATGGTCCCTTTCAGTCACCAATAATATAATGGTTTTACTGGCAGATGCCTGCAGTCTGGTCCTCCATATCATCATTAGTTTGATATTAAAAATTAAATGGTGATGCCTCTACCAAAGTCTCCTTTGGTAGAACATCTTTAAAGGACAGTAGTCCCAAGATTTGTTTCTACCCAATGAGACTGTTCTGGGAAGTCCCACTTTGTATCCCCTTTTCCATTATAGGAGAATATATCATCCTAGATATATCTGTTAGGAGCATTTCAGTAAAGACTGTTCTTCTGGTCTCTGTCGCTGTACCTACTGCTTTTCTTTAATAGTAAACACAATAAGTCAAGAATTTACTGTCCCAAAACTGGCAATGGGCTCTTCCAGAGGAAATGTGCTGGGACATTTCATAATGATTCCTTGACTGACAATAGGGTTTGAAATCATTAAATTTTCTGCTGAACCCCACACCCCCTCAAAAAACAGATCAAGACTATCACTTGACTTCTGAGATTCAAGTTACAAGACTTGCTTGTGAAAGTTGCTTCCTTTAAACAAGGTACATTATTTTGGTGGGCAGATCAGGATGTTTGGGCCACTAGCTCCTGGCAGCAGGTATCTAGAACATGGAGGAATAATCTCAGCTTGCTTCCATATCAGGGATTCAAAATAATATTCATAGTAGTCCTATATGAAGATACATTCTACATTAATAGTGGGCCATGTTAAAAAAAATGACTATACATGAAAGAAATAAAACAGCATGCATAAAAACATGGATGCTGACGCTGGAAGGAAACAAGCGAAAGTGGAGCTCTAACTGCATAAAATGTGTCATACAAGAAACTCAGGTCTGGATTTAAATGGAAGACACTGAATCATGTCAGAATTGTTCTATATGTCTTCCTCTCATTCCTTTCTAGCTTCCTAGGATAACATTGATCTAAAATACTGCCCAGTAGCCCTTTTTGAGCCTCAGCTGTTACCTACCTATATCATATACCCAGCTTTAAGGTCTCTGGAGTTCCCTTAGTAGTAATAGCAAATTTTACATTATTTTCTATAACATTTGTAACCAAGTTACCCAAAATATCCCAACCCCTTATAATTTATATAAAATGATGAGTAAGTAAAGATCATTCCATGTTGTATTTCCCAGAATACTAATGCTATTTAGGAACCGAAAATTAGTTGTGATAAACAGTTTTGGCACTGGCTTTTCCTGGCTACTTGAAATTCTTGAACTGTAGGTACAATGGATCAAGTTGTGACTTGCTGCTGAACTAGAGCTATCTGTGCACTAGCCTTTTAATATTTATGATTTTAAAAAAAAGTTGAGTATGTGGAAACCCTAATTCTGTCTGTTCATAGCTTTCAAGTACAGTACATTAATTTTATGTATGTTTCCACAGGGACTACTAAGAATTTATGAGATAACCAGGAGATGAACAACTCAAGCAGGATACTTCAAAAATCATTTTGTAGCCAGAATCCTATTTGTAATAACCCCCAGAAACATCTACCTATTAATCTGGATCTGGCAATGGTTTTCAAAACGTATCTTTGCATTTCACTACAAACCTGCTAATGCTGCCTCTCATTTCTGCATGATGAGATGTGTTAGTTCAATGAAGATCTCAGGTACAGACTTGCTATCCATTAATGATTCATTTGGCTTGTCTTACAGACTCTACCTGTTTTGGGTGGGTAGCCTTTCTGTTTTGCCTTTGTAGTCATTTCTAGTTTTTTTAAATTGGTTTGGAGACTAACCAGCTCTCCCACTCCCTAAAGTGCAATCACCATAAATTACACAATACAATATAATGGTACAGAGATCTTCAGATAGATTTTCTAATGCTTAATGCTAAGGGAATTCCTACTCTATTTTGTGCCTATAGAGTAGTTGTAGACATATCTTCAAACAATTTAAGCTGTCAGGCTTAAGCATTGTGAATAGAATTACTTAAGGAGAATTGGTGCGGGAGTCATCACTAATTTGAATCTCTTCAATATAGGTAATGATGTAGCTAGATGATCTCAGACAAATACTATCAACCATTTTTGAGATGGTTCTTCACATTACTGAGATATCTCTCTCAACTGTTCTGAAGAGTCCGATCATTATTAGGCCTAATTCAAATTTGTTTATAGTCCCCATAAAAACATTCACATGTGACAACTTTTGTAGATGTGTTAGCTCTCATCTAATAAAAGAACAAGAAAAAAACCTAGAGTATAGGAACTGTATTAGGGCAATGTTTAAAATACTAATAAGGTTATAAGTGAAAATCTTAATATTGAAATTAGGCTAGAATTCCTCAGATGTAATCCAGTGTTTAAAGAAAATGTAAATTCAGTTGATATACATAAAATTATATAGTCTAGCTAGCATATTGAATCATTGTTTAATTCAGAGAGATTCAATGACAAACTCAGGTGCTAGATTGGGATCATACATGTTTGAATAATGACAGTATAGTTTTTGAAATAAGTCACTCAGATGAGTTATTTGTAATATAAAACTTAAAATATGAATGTAGGATAGAGGAACAGAGGTGTGCAATTTTGCATAACCTATTTTATAACACCAAAACAATTACAAGTTGACTGCAAAAGGAACAGCTAATTTTTGAAAGCAAAAATTAAATGCTACACCCAAGTTTGAAGGCTGCCAGTTCCTGCACTGGATCTTGAAAGATTTTCAAATTTAGTTCATTTTTCAAGCCATATTTTATGACTAAAAGATGTAATCTTGAATGCAAATACAGCAATTCTAAAACATGGACATGGATCCATGTTAACACAGTCATTCCATATCTGAAAGCATAAGTGATTCTACTTCTTTAAGAGATCCCAGGTCAATGTGCATAATCTAAAGCAGCCAAAAAGATTTGTTTTTAGAAATCCAGAACATTTCCAAAGGCTCAACTATGGTGAAATAGCAGAAAATTATAAGGTGAATTTCTGTTGGGTCAAGATGCCTTATGTTTGAAATGCTAGATGTAGTAGAAAGGAGCTCAGGTCTTAGTTGCACAGGTATCTGAAAATATCTCTTTGATTATACCAATTTAAGTTTCAAATTTCTGAACTTCAGATTCTAGCCTTAGTAATTTACATAATACACAACCCCTTTTCTTAGCAATGTATCTACTTCTTTGTTGACTCACTAACTCCACATGAGTATAAACCTCTGTACCAGTTAATAGATTGTTGATAGATTGTTGATGTTAATTTTACCTATTATTAGTATCCCACTCTATGGAAAGATCAAATCAGTAACCTAAACTAAACAAATTGATTGTGAAAACAAGTTTCTAAATTTAAAGGGAATGAAATCAAAGATTTAAACACTATTTAACCAAGCAAATTTGTTTGAAGCCTTGAAGATAAGAAACAGAAATACTGGCTGAATAATCAGCAGTTTAGGGCTTGCTACCCTGGCATTACATTTTACTATTTTAAGTTAATTTTAATTTCATCCCTAAGGGTTGCTAGCTTCTGCTGCCTCACGCACACCTAGCTCCTCCCTCTCCCAACTATTTATTTATTTTATTTATTTGGAGCATATTGAGAATATGCTTGATATAGGAGGACCTCTCTATTTTTGAAAAGTTTTGATGGAAATGAAGACCCTCAATTCTATTAAATGTTAGGAAAGCTCTTGGCTTTACCTGAACAAGAAACAGGGCAAATTAAAATCCCACCACTAATCATGGGATACAAAAGCATGGAACCAAGGTATATTCTGTGAAATTGAAGCAGATCAGAAAACACTTGTAAAGTCATCTTATTATGAAAAAAGAAATGTTTAAGGAAGGATTAGAGAAGGCCATTTTGGAAAAAGCAATGTGTCATTATATCATGCTAATCAACCCCTTCCATGTCAGTATTTGGCAGCTTCAACACTGGATGATCTTGACCAAGTTCTACTGTGTCTCCCTCTGGTTCCTGTGCTGTGGGCATGAATGTTGGATCAATACAGGAATCCTGTGTACCTTGTGGCTTGGAAGAAGGTAATGTCAGCTCCGGAGGACAAACTGGATCACATACTTTGGGATCATGTAGTTCTTCCACTTTTTCTTCATTGGTGGTGATCATAGGCATGTTCACATGAGTCACCATGAAAGCTGTAGCCAAATCTTTTGAAATAATTTCACTGGTGACAGATAGCTCATCAATAGCCTGACTTGTAATTGTAGCCTTATTCTCCAGACTATCCTCCACTCCAGCCTGCTGTTCTTCCTCCTCATCTTCCTCTACCTCCTCATCTTCTTTGCTGTCCTCAGGGAATTGTGCTTCTTTTATTTTTTTGTACAATACATTCCGTTCATCCTGCAGAGCTCTGCAAAGATTTTCTAGCCTTTGAATTTTCACTACAAAGCATTCATATTCCTTGGCCCTCATGGCTTTCTGTGATAGAGTAAGAAAGCAAAACATTTGAAAGCTGCCAAGCTGATACATGACACACGACAATCTAAATGGCCAGATCAAAACTCTCCTTTTTTGTTTGCTTGCTCAAATACTGCTTGAAAGGTGACCCCAAGATCCTATCATTGGCTTGGCCATTTCTGCAAACCTTGTGGTTTTCTGGGCCTTTGATGCCCTGGGATTTTACATTCGGTTTATGCAAATCTATAGAGCCAGCTAAGACTTCTCAGAGATGCTAATCTTAGCTGGCAGGATGTGAAAGGGTGTTAGGAGGGGAAATTGGGAAATTGCAAGTTATAGCATGTAACTGTTAGCCTTTCACTTCTGCAATGCATGAAGGCAGCCCAAGACATTCCGTTACTGCGTTTAAATCATGCTTTAAAAGTCTCTTTTATGTTCTGTCTAACTTGCTCAGTGAAAAATGCAAATGACATAATTGGGTTGTGCAACCATAACCCAGTGGTCACTAAGTACTCCAGCTGACCATGCACACTGACAGCTAGATTGTCTCTGAATTAGTGTGAATCCAGATTTTAGAGATGTTCCCTTATTTTGTCATTTTGTTTCCCATGTGCAACAAGAGCTTACATAACTCTACTATGTTACTTCATTTATTAACGGCCACTAAGCAGATAAAATAAGTAAATATGTACAGTATTGGAAACCTCATAATAGTGGCGTCAGAGCTCCATTGTTAAGAACATTTTAATTAGCGAGATTATATGGCTTTTAGATGTCATTGATTTTAAAATTTGTTTCTCACCTCTTCAATCATGTCTAGTAAAGCTTTATTGCAGTTCTCAAACCTTGCTTTCCATGTAGCTGTGTCCTTTTCCAGTTTTTTCATTTTCTTTGTCATCTGTGAAAAAAGGCAAAATCTAAGTGCACATAGGAAACAAAATGAATGTGATCCATTCATTTGAAGTTTAACATTCAAAAGGAATGTTAAATTTGACTTTTTCTAAATTGCTTTCCTCAGGGCTATGTAAGCTAATTGAATTTCTATGCAACTTCCATATTAATTTAATGGATTTTGTATGAGGATCCTAGATCAATAGATGGTTTCCAATTATTACTCTCAAAGTTACTAGCCCAAAGTTACTATTTCCAGCATCATGTAAGTGTACTTACTCACGTGGCTAAACTTCCTTTCTGCCTCCGTATGCTGCTTACGTTTGATACAGTATTCCTCAATTCTCTGAGACTGGGATACATGTAAAGGGAAATATCCATTCTTCTAGTGGATACCAGTTCATTAGCGGACAGGCATACTTCGTGTGTGGATAGGCACACCAACCACGAAGAGGGAACAACAAAATGGAAAGATGTTGGTGGATATATTGAGGTTCTATTCCATATTCCCCATCTGGGTGAATGGACTGAAAAGAATATTAGGGATGGGGAATATTTCAGAAACTATCCCACCCACCAAAGCCTAAATTGCATAAATAGTCTCTCTTTTTTAAATTATCTTTCCTTGCTTCTGTATACCTGCTTCAGTTCAGAATTTCTTCTTCCTGTCTGTAATTACTGGTGGTCTTTCAATGCTCTTGCTAGTCTAGAAAATTTAGCTAATCATCCTTTCTAGCAACCTGAGCTTCACCAAAGTTTTGGGGAACAATGGCATGACTTCATACAGGAAGACGTGTGGGAGAACCTTGCTATACAGGGAAGGGGAAAATCATCCAAACTGGACAGATGGCCCCCACCTTCCCTTATATGCTGTCTTCCTTTATATCATAATTACCATTTTTTGCATTTCTATACCTTTCTTCATCTAATGGTCTACAAAATGGTTTACAACAATAAAAAGAGATGAACTATCACCACAAAACTAAATAACTAATTAAGCAACTAACTGAAACAATGTAAATGACCAGTGTACAAAATCAGAAGCAAATATATTGGGGCATGAATAAAAGGGTCATCTTAAGCTGTCCAGGAAGCGCTCTCATGCTGCAGGGATGCTTTTTCTAGAGTGATGAAAGAAGGAGAGGTGGGAAAACTTTCTCCTGCACTTGCATCTTAGGATTCAGATCTATGCTTTCATATCCAAAGATTATGAAAATGAGTTTTGGCACCTTCTTCCTGCCCTTGTATCTTAGGATTCAGATCTATGCTTTCACATCCAAAGATTATGAAAATGAGTTTTGGTGCCAGCCCTAACATTCATCCTCATTTTGATTTATATGATCACTTGTCACTTTATGAAGATGGAATGGTTCAAACCTCTGTGCAAAGATCTATGAATCCACATTAGTCACGTTAAAAATGCCTATAGGAAAAATCAAGGATGCATAATAAATACTTATAAACACACAACTGCCCAAGTACTGCAAAGCCAACATCTTTGCTGTTTCCTTCTCTCTGGAGATCATCAAAAAAATATATCAATCTATATGTAATACTACAAAACATAAGTATATGAATACAGATGTAACACTTGATTGTTTTTCTGTTATGCTAGTTGAAGTTGGTGATCTCAGAATGCTGTTGCAGTAGCATTACCAAATTATACATGGTTTCCATCTGACTTAAAAAAAAAAAAGAATAATACAATGGCAACTTAATGGCAATTTTGTGGGTAATTCCAAGCAGTAAATAGACTTTAAACATGTCAATTATCAGCTGTACTTAGATGTCAGCTATGTAGGGCTGACATCAGCATGGAACACTTTCCATAAGAATCTGTTCTTCCATTTGATAGCATTTAATTCTATTCAATTAATAATATTCTCATCTGTTATTAACTAAATGACTTAATGATTCTACCATCTGATCACTCCTTCCTGAACTTTTAAAAACATGATCTGTGGCTCATAGCACTATGGTTTCTTTCACAGTTTGATAAGCCATGATATCCAAGCACTTCACAGTCTTTCCATTTCTCCAAATGAAAATGCTTACAAGAAGATAACAAAGCAAGCAAGCTAGAAGGATGGCATTTTATAGAACAAAAAAGAAAAAGAAAAAGAAAAAGGAGTTGTGTGTATAATCACACTTTTTATTATGGCTAATGCTATGACATTTATAGTGACATTCTTTGCAATATAACTCAGAGTAATACAAAGGGCCTTCATGTTTACAACATGAACTTTTTATGGCTATAAGACAGACATTTTCATATTATGCTGCAATCTCCAAGTGCCACAGAATTGTGATACACTGATAGCATCAAAAATGGCAGGGACAGAACTTTGTTTCTATCCTTAAGGGACCTTTTTAAAGTAAAAATTCCTTTCTAAAACATGAAGAACCATCAATTGTCACTGTATCTGAGAGCTGTGACATTGGAGAGTTCTGGAGGACTCAATGGAGAGGCTGGGGAAAGCCATAGGCTACATAACAGCTACTCCTAGTTTACACATGACAGAACAATCCTATTACTCATTTGCTGAGTGGTTTCTAAAGCCCTGCAAGCTACAGCCCTATTTTATGTTCTTCACTGAAGAAACAAACAAACAAACCAAAAAACAACATTTCATACAACGAGTGCTAATAAATGAACTGATCTAAATATCTGAGAGCATGATAGAGCAACTTAGGACCCAGCAGATCCTCAGATTATCAGTAGAGAAGTGATAGCTTTATAAACAAAAATGTGTTGGAAAGTCTTGAAAACCAAGCTAAATCAATCTGAAAGACATTCAGTGGTGTCATTTAGCAACATGGAAAGCCTGAAAAAATAGAGTTGAAATGTAACTCATAACTCACCTTGTCCATTTCTTGCTTGAAGCTGGCAAACACCTCATTGCTTTTTGTTAGGGTTTTCTGAAACTCCTCAAATCGATCAGAATAGAGAGTCAGCTGCATTCACAGGAAAAAAGTGTGGTCAGTTACACCTACCACTGCACAATAACAGTATTTGATCCTCAAAAGATTGCAGAAGGATAATAAGATGCAACTTTTAGCCTGGAACCTAAGGTAACTTAAAAGAGTTTACGGAAGAAGAAATTTCCATCCTTTTCTGCTATCTCCAAAGTCATCTAGAGAATCAAGATGTTCCTGAACAATGAACCACTGCTTAAGTATGAGTCAGCAGTGTGCTGCGGCTGCCAAAGAGGCCAACACAGTCCTAGGCTGCATCAACAGAGAGGTAGTATCACAAGGGAAGTGATAGTACCGCTCCACACTGCACTGGGGAGGCCGCATTTGGAATACTACATCCAGTTCTGGTCACCACAATACCAAAAAAAAAAATAAAAATGCTGAGGCCCTAGAAAGAGTGCAGATAAGAGCAACAAAGATAAGGGGTCTGGAGGCTAAATCCTATGAAGAATGGCTAAAGGAACTAGGTATGAAAAGGCTGAGGGGAGAGACACGATAGCAGTCATCCAATACTTGAAGGGCTGCCACAGGGAAGAGGGCATCAATTTATTCTCCATAGCATCTGAGGGTGGGACAAGAAACAATTGGCGGAAGCTCATCAGAGGGAGATCCAACCTGGAAATAAGGAGGAATTTCTTGACAGAATTATTAAGCAGTGGGAGAGCTTGCCTCCCAGAGTTGTGGGTGCTCCATTGCTGGAGCTATTCAAGAAAAGATTGGACAACCATTTGTCCAAGATAGTATAAGGACTCCTGTCTTGGGCAGGGGGTTGGATTAGAAGACCTCCAGGGACACTTCCAATCCTATGATTCTATGATTCCATGAATGGGATATGGTGTAAGGAGTGGGGGAAACTCGGCTTGAATCCTAAAGGAAGTTATATTAAGGAGGTTCATTAATGAAAATTTTCCTTTCCCATTCTTGAATATCTTCTATAGAGTTAGATAGTGATGGCAGCTTGTGACAGTCCAGATGTAGTTGCTGAGCTTCAACTCCCAGAATTCCTCACATTTCCCTAGGCTGCTTGCACTTCAACAACAAACTGGAGTGCCGTAGGCTGCCTGTCCCTGCCCTGCTGACCCATGTAACTTAGGGTACAAATGATTGCTACTGGGAGAAAGGAATCCAATATCTAACATAATCAGCATGGCATAAAGAACAGTTTCCTGACAATTATACCATTTCTGATGTTCAAAATCGCAAATTTCTAGCCCTTAAGATGTCCCTAAATGCTTAAACAGATGAGGATAATCTTACTGGTTTAGCTATATGAAGTTTGGGAGATCACATTTGTAATAAGGACAAAATATTTTTGTTTTCACATTTTTTCTTACCATGGACAAACCCAGCTCCAACTTTGATGTTTTATAACATCCCATAATGACCGTTCCTCTTTGACTTGTGCTGCTGTGCCTGATCTAGCATAGATTAGCATCAAATTCTTGTCACTGTTGCTGATTCCATATATTTAACATACTCCATAATAATCAAAATGGATGGTAAAATAGGATAAACATCTAATAGCATTTGCTGAATTTCATGAATTCTTTGTAAAGTAATGACTGTATGCTACCTTTAAATCTTCTTAAAGAGAAAATGTTCATAAAATAACATGGAATAGATGGAAGAAAGACAAGGATCAATAGTCTTGGTCAATAGAAGTAATGAAAAAAAAAAGCACTAAGCCAAATTACCCAAATTTTCAGGTTAATTAGACTGCAATACCAGTTGAAAGTGAAAGGAATTAAATTTAACACACGGAGACATTAACTTGGGGAAGGTTGTGCTAAAGCATGCTACACTATTTCTTATAGATAGAAGATAAAATGATTAAACAGACACTACTTTGACTATCACTGATAACCAATACTTTTCTATTTCTGGCCATCATAAGTTAAAAATGTTAATTCTTCCTACCTCTTGCCATGTGATAATTATAACAGAATGCTCCATGCTGATATTTCCAATAAATGTTATGGACTGCTCCATACTAATATTTCATAAGGATTTAATCTGATGCGTGCTACTGTGTGCTTCCAGAGAATATGCTTTAATGGGGTTTGAACATAAATAAGTTTAGCTACATTTCGTCCACTTTTACACATCTAATATGTTGAACATGACCAGTTGAAAAGGTACATAATACAATCAACAGCCTTATTTTACCTGGGCCTGGAGAACAGTCTCTTGTTCCTTCAGCATTTTTGCCTGTAGTTTCCATTCTGCAGCTTGGTTGAGTAGCTATTTGGGATTTAAGAATGCACACAACATTTGAAAGATCAGAATCGTTTAAATTTAAAAAACCTTTGCAAGTATGCTATTTGTAAAACTTTGCATCTAATGAAATGACTGGGATCCACAAAAATATATGGAATTATTTCTTTTAAACAAATCTTTTTGTTCTAGTTAAGTAGTTTTAAAATAAGCACTATCAATCTAAGAGAAACGTTCCTACGGGCTTTTCATGTGGTTTTCAGAGCTTTGTCCTTTTAAATCCTCCTTGCTTTGGGAAACAACAAAGATTAAAATAAAATCCATGTAGTGTGGTGATGGCGATAGCAAGGCAAAGGGAACTACTAGTTAGTTAATGTGGGATGACTAATCTCCAAATATTCTGAAGTCTAAATTAGGTTTTGAACTGTGGTGCTGGAGAAGACTCTTAAGAGTTCCCTGGACTGCTAGGAGGTCAAACCAGTCAATCTTAAAGGAAATCAACCCTGATTGCTCATTGGAAGGATCGATAAT